ACAGACTTGATACGCTTCCAAAGTCAGTTTTTCTATTCCTTCTGTAGGACTAATATTACTTAGAACCGTTTCCCATGGAATGTTTGTAAGTTCCCTGTTTATTGTCTCCCAGTCTATCCTTTTATTATTAAAATCTAATTTACTGAATAATCCTTCTCACTTGATCATTGTTTTAGTTCTGTTGTGTGTATTGATTGTAGTTTGCACTTTAATGAACTTGTGATTTGAGTATCTGATATATTGATATCAGTATGTGGTATTGAGTATGTGATATCTGATATCGTAATGTCCCTGATTATGTCATTATTGTTTGTAAAAACCAGATCAAGAATATTTTCATTTCTCGTTGATATCTGCTGGTTGAGTGAAAAATTGTCACAGAATCTGAGCAGTTTTCTAATCTGTGGTTGGTTATGTCCTGATAGATTTCCTGGTATAATATTATTGTTCACTATTCTCCATCTTTGACAAGGCAAGTAAAAGTCCCATAAGAAGATAATATCAGGTATCGGGTTCGCCAAATTATCAAGGTTATTCTCTATTTTGTTTATCTGTTCTGCGAATTCCTCAGCCGTTGCACCTGGCGGTTTGTATATTAGAATAATAACTAAGTTTATTTTCTCTATTTTTACGCTGAGTACCTCTACCACCTCATTTGTAGATTCAAGGAGTTCTGAGCATACAAGGTCTTCCCTAATATACAGACCCATTCCTCCATGTGTCCTAATTACCCTATCACACCTGAATAGATTATATCCTGATATCCAGATTTCACTGTCCAAGAATTCCCTTGCATGCGTTTCTGTGAAAGCTCCAAATACTGCATTTGACTCAGCGAGGAGGCCATTTATGAATTTTACTTTGTTTTTTGTTCTTGGTTTTAGTCCTTGTATGTTGGCAAAGATGAGTGAGGTTACTCTATTAGGGATAGTTTGACTGGAAGACCTTTTTACCAGGTCCATTATGCGTGGACATATTGAGTTTGTTAGGCTCAGTGCTGATTGTTGTAGGGCAGTTGCCTATCGTAGTTATAGTTCTTTTTGGTGTGTAATTGTATCTGTGATTTAGGTATGCAAGTGGGTCTGGCATCCAGTTCCGTACATTCTCTATGTTCCCCCTTTTGAAATACCTTGAAATATAAAAAATTCATTGAGTTTCTTTCAAATTCATTATCTTGCTTGTAGTGTTCAGTAGCGTCCACTCTTTATGTTGCGTTCTGTGCCTTTCACGTGAAAGTATGGCCAGCTGAGGTCATAGCATTTTCTATCCTCGAGTGAGCTTTGGCACATGTCAGGATGGAACCTACATGTTGATCCAAATCGACACTGGCCTTTCCTAAGCATATTTAAAAAAATTTAGATGGTGGTAACTACATTCTAATCATTTCTTGTTACCAGCATATGTATGTATGTCTGCATATGCTCTTTACGTAAAATTTGCATATGCCTGTCCTTCTAATCTGACTCGCTCTATCGGGGACTGTTGTAGTGTCTGTACCTATCGAACTGTCATTGCAGTCTATTACACTTTCTAGTCTACTATCGTCTGCATCCAGGCATACTGAATTAGAGTTTACAACTTCCTGAGTTTCTGATTCAGTTTCCTCCCTGACTATAGTCTCCGCCCCTTTTCTGATACAATTATTGTTGTTCGTTTCCCACTCTTTCTGGATGGCTGGGAGGCTTTCAGTGAACGATGTTTTCCGGTCATGCGTCATGATATCTAGAAGGTTTTGTAGGATATTCCAAGATGGCAGGTCATCTTTACATACCCAGAGCAAATGGCCAACTCTCAGTCCCAGTCCTCAGTCCCAGACATAAAAAAAATGTCTCCATGTGGGGAACCGACTGTGAGATATATATTTATTTAATTTATTTGAATTTATATAGTGTTTATATTGATATATTTCGATAGCAATTTGTATGATGTTTAGTGGACTGTATTTCTGCAGTATTCTCACAAATCGACTCCTTACACATCAGTTTTTTGTATTAAATTTATATGTATGCAGCCAATTAAACTGCATTATTAAACTACATATATTAGTAAATAAATTAGGAGGTCTTATCTTATTGTATGATAGGCTTAGTCCACTAGGAATAAACAAGGATGATGACACCAAATAATCCTCGTAGTTGAGACTAGCATCCACTACCCATGTACTGGTGTACCAAGATTAATTCTTGCTTCCTCTTCTATTGTTCCTGTCAAAGAGCACTCGCAGTAAAGCCGGAATCCTATCTATATGACAGCTATATCAGAGGAAATATTTGTATATTATATATGATAAGGACCAAGGAATAATTACCTGGGTTGAGTCGCTGCCTCATGTCCGAACCGGAATTATCCTATCTACCTAACATTACTGGGCAGGAATGACTTAAATAAGATTTTGGAAAGACACTTCCCTTGTTTAGATGATGACAGCATATTGATGATGGAAGAAGCACTAATTTGATCTCCATAACACTTGTTCAGAGGGAGAATTATAGGAGCTGAACTCGCTTTAGCGACTCTGGTTTTAAACAATGGCTGACCTCTCTCCTTCTGACACTCTGGCTCTCTTTGTCCAGATGTCAATATGTGGTAGAAGGGTCACATTTACTCTGTTTTGGTACTATCAATTAAGTTAATTCAAATGAGATGTTTCTATGATGTTAAAAGTCCAAAGACTGCTATATTAAAAATAATTCCCAATAGAATAGCAGGTGAATTTATAGTGCTATGTGGCAATGATATCCCATTTTCTATTGATGGAAAGTTCTACTACAGGCTACATTTTCTATGGGTTAACTTGTGTATACAACCCAGCAGCAATATTATCTGCCTATTGTATTTAATGTTAGTAAATGGTGTCGGGTTTTCCGACACTCCAAAACCTAATGTGGAAGAAGAAAGGACTTCACCACCGTTCAATACTGTAAAGCAAGACAGGAAATAAATGTTCTGTCTACAAAGTCAAGCAATAACGTGACTTTGCCCACTGTTCAACTCAACATTAAAACAAAAGGGCCAAGGTCAACACCCCCGAGTTATTTGACCATGGGTTCCAAAAAAACATTTCTCACACAGAAGGTGGCAAATGACCTGTTAAAACTGTTAATCAGGAAAAGTAAATATATCAGGGTTCCCGACTAATATGGGACCCCAAGTCTACAAAGTGGTCCAACCATTAATACGTTTAGGTGGTTATGTCTGACCTGTACAGGCCATCATAATAGACAAAATCCCATCTGACCTATGTCCATGGTCTAGTGACAGCAGTTAAATTCCTACAAAACAAGGGAATCAAATTAGCCGATAATAAAATCGCATCTGATCACCTCACCAACACTGGAATACTTGTAGGTGCAGACTATTACCCAACTTCATCACTGGACAAACTAAACAGCAAGGAATGAATCTGTTATTGTCTGTGGGAGGCAAATTGTTCATTGGCCCAGTATTGAGTCTTTAGAAGACCACACCAATAGACAACAAACAAGTCTTGTCAGTGATGGTTGCGTGACTAGGAGAAGAACAGTCACCACTAAAGTTCAGAGACATGTTTGAGGATGCACTAGATCCCTCTGTACACAAATTATGGGATCTAGCCATCTTAGGTATCGTCTCAGAACAACCAAGTCCAGACGATACCTGGACGTACAAACAATACCTGGACTCAGTTGTCTACAGAAACAATTAATACTGGGTCTGGCTACCTTGGAAGTTGAATCATCCTCAACTACCGAAAATTATTTCATGGCACAAAACCAATTAAGTTCTCAGGTGTTACTTGAATAGACTACCTGAGAACCTGAAAGTGTATCCTTATATAATCTAACAACAACTTCATAACAAATTCATCAAAGTTGTAAACAAGGATGACCCTAAGGAGGGACACTATTTGCCACACCACGCAGTACTGAAGAACTCAGTTACTACCCACCACTGAGGATAGGTTTTAACTGCAGTACTACTGAAGATACTGAACCCTCGAGGATTCCCGACAATAGATCCAGAGGGCATGGATAGAGTGTGCAAAACCCTGGTTTGGCTTCAGTGGAAGCCTCAGGTATCCTTGAGGAGTCAGTAGAACTACAGGTTGCAATCCTTTTGACCATGTTGTAGCCTAGTTGTCTGGGGCGTGTGAGCTTGGGAATACTCAGCATGTAGCTTCAAATCCTCATCACAGTTTCTATGGATTTTCTCACTGATACATCACGTTAGTGTGATTTCTCTCTATATATTATCATTATAATAATAATACTATTATTATTATTATTGTTATTATTATGGATGAAAACCCACACTTTGTATTTGTGATATTTAGGTAAAGAATTTACACTAAGTCTATCACACTCTCCTGAGTGCTTTCTCAAGGTCTGAGTGTGTGATGAGGACGAGATTTACATATCGTGTGAGGCCGAAGCTCTATTGACCGAGCTATTGAGTAGTCTTAACAACTATACCACAACTATACACATATTTCACAAACCATGCACATTCATGCAACAGACAACCTGAAGGTAATTTAATTGAAAGTTTTCAGTAACTTTATGGTTCACTTCGTGTATGGAGTGAAACAGTGTTCTAGCATCTGTACAAACACGGTCCTTTAACTACCTTGAGATATGAAAGTACAGATTCAACATTTGCGGCCCAACTGCACTATCTTGGTGTAAACTTACTTCTATGACGTGTTTGCCAGAGGGAATAAATATTAACGACATGTCAAACATTTTTAAAAAAAGTCACAATAAATAACTTGGTCCACAAATTTCATAACCTTACACACCATCCCTTAGTGTAATGCCCTGTCAAGTGTTTTAACATTATCTAAGACTATGGCATCGTCTTTGACACAATCAAGATTCTTGGCTACAACATTATTTCTTCTAAGACAACAACTTTTCTTTTAAGACAGAAATTATTTGCTATGACAGAAATAATTTGCTAAGACAACTACTCTTTTAATGACAACAACTATTAATTCGAATACTAACCTAAACTCTGGCTGTATGCTTCCGTCAGACGTGAAGCACCCGTCAGGGTGGTGGTGGGAGCGGGTGATACTAGTGGTGTGGGCGCTGGTGACGGTGGTGTTGACGCAGAGCTACGCCGGCAACCTCATGGCTCTCCTGGGTGTGAGATACATCCCTCAACCAATACATTCTCTCCGGGATGTCTTGGATCACCCAAAGATAATAATGATTTGGAAACTAAACTCCTTTACCGTGGCTTTCTACCGAGTGAGTACCGTTGTTGAGTTATTATCAACTATACACACAAACAAATAACAAAACGACCCAAAATATTGAGGAACATTTTGTTTTCAACCTATTCTGGACCTATGAGCATCTAAAAGCTCAACCTGCATGGGGCACTGTTCTTGAAAATCATGAGATGTTGTTTCCTACCTGATGTAGACTGTGGGGAAACGCTCTCCACTTTTCATAAAAGAAGCTCTTATAATTTTGCATTGTGCTGGGTTTAAGTTTATTAGCCATTTTTCAAAGCCTTTTTGGATTGTGTTAAAATCTCTTCCCAAGCTTTCACAGTTTCTCTTTGTTCTGATCCTTCTCATTAGTTTGCAGTTTCCACATATCAATATGTAGGAACCAAGCGTCTTTGACAGGTCGCTGATATGTACTAGAAACAGGATGAATTCTTTATCCAACCGAAATAGTGCTCACTCGTGACCTCTTTCCACTCTGATATCTCTGCTCTTACTGTAACTCATTCCTTCCTTGCAGAGAGGCACGGACTCGACTTCCTCTAGCACTAGTTACATGACAGAAAGAAGGCAGGTACAAGAATCGGAAAGTTTGAAAGATCTTGAATGTATCTTCCAGCACTAACTCTAGAGGCAAACATAAACAGGGCAACATCGGCAGCATATGGGATGCTGTCAAAAATTAGAACGTCATTTAGAAGCCTAAATCAGATTTTTTCAGGGCAATCTACACAACTTTTGTTAGACCAATATTGGAATATGCAGCAATTGCACGGAATATGCACGTTTTGAAGCATAAAACCAGAACTGAAACAGTACAGAAATTTGAAACAAGATTAGTGCCCAAGCTAAGATGATTAAGCTATGAAGTTAGATTAAATTAATAGAACTTGATCTTATAACCTAAGACGACAAAGGGTGTTATGATCACAACACTCAGAATACTGGCGGAAATTTACATGATGGACAAAGAAAGGCTCTTAAATTAAATGAGGTTCAAAGAGTAGAGGAAATGACGACGTAGACCGTGCACCCCCATCGACCTTGCAACATTGCATGCAACATTTCAATGTATAAAGATGCACCAATTGCAAATGATGCATATCAACATGTTGCGACATGAAATACACATGAACATGAAGCTTAAGTTGTTTCGCGAGTAAGCAGGACATGCAGGTAACAAAGCGAGGGACAGGGAGGTGCATGTTTGCATTGTCAACATCATATTATTATACAACTTCAAAGTTTATTATGCACATCCTTGTGTTTCTGAACCAATTCTGGCTTTTGAATAGAATGTCAAAACTTTCTCTTACCAACTGCTTCAGTACTTTTCAAGGAACAAACACATGTTGGTAATACCAGCCTGTAGTTGAGAAGTTATAATCACAGAAAGAGTACTGCCGTATATACTTTCTGCCTTTTTCATTTTTCAAGATGAACACCTGTGGTTCTCCTACTTCCTCTACGATATTTATTTCAGTAAGCTCTTTTTGTCTATACACTTGGCCTTCTTCCATACAGGCCAGCGTTCGATCCCCAATGTTCCAAGGGGTTGGACACTGTTCCTTCATTGCAGCCTTCTATCCAGCTTTCCTATCCCTTCTCTGTGTTGTATATCATTGTTTCTTTCTCCTGATATTTTATCTAGATTAGTGAAAGTGAAGTCTCCAAGTTCGCAAGTGTGAAGGTGGCCCTGTTTGTGTTTGTTTTTGCTGTGGTATTAAGATCGTGTTTAACTATTATTATTTAAGAATACAGGCAATTATGAATTATTGAAAAAGTCATCTGTTAACAAATTTAATACTAACTCTTTATCCATGTACACTCATATCGAAACTCGCCTGACTTATCAATCACACATAAATTTATAACAAAGCTTTTTTTTACCATTTGCTGGAAGGAAGCCAAGTCCGGGATATTCACGGAGGTGGCCAAGGCAGAGAGAGAGGGGAGAGTGATATTCAACCTTCTCGCTCAGTACCCGGAGAGCATCGACCGCTTGGTCAGGCCGGGAACACACGTCATTTTCGAGACTGAGAGCAACCTCAAGATTTTCATGGCCGACGACTTCTCACGAACAGGTCAGGTCTTGTGCAGGAAGAACAGTACATGTGTTTCATGTCTCAGTGTCACATGAAGGTCGCCTACACTCCTCGTGTAGGTGTTGCATCTCTCAGCTTGGTCACACGAAGGTCGGGTCTCAGGCAATGAGAACAGTTGTGTCTCTGTGTCACATAACTAAACATTAAGAATTAATAACATTTACATTTCTATTCATTCACTCTTATTCTTCTCTAAATATATCATTATACAATGATCATACATATCTCAAATGTAACTGTGTATTGGATACATGTAGGTCTCTTGGCCTCACAATACATATGACGATATCATTGGTGGAGTGGGCATAGTTCTGGACATTCACCCCGGTGCTATAGGTTCCATCCATTGAGTTGTATCTATACAATAATAGTGAATATCTATTTCTCTATCCAAAGCAGGTAGACAGACGCTTGGAGTTAGCCTTAAAATTTGTAAGGAAAGTGGTCTGGGGTACTGGATGAACTTAGGTTACTTCGGATCTCCCGAATTTAAATGAGAACAGGGTACCAGGGTCTCATTCACACACCCCAAGACGATTTTTGGCACTAACCTAACCTAACCTAACCTGATCTAAATATTTTGAAAATAAAAAATTCAAGGCAATTATTTCTTATAGCAATATACTTCATTATTCAGAAATTTCGTGAAAATTAAGGATTCAAGGAAAGAAAAAAGAGAAAAAAAAAGTTGTATTAGATTAGAAAGTTCTATTATGCATAATTTGCCACTATTCACATAAAACAGACGATCTCAACAGTTTCGAATGTTTCTCAAGACCTGCTGTCTTATAATAATGAATTAACTAATTGCAACAAATGGAGGTAGACAGGGACAGTGATAGAGACAGAAACAGAAACAGATATATATATATATATATATATATATATATATATATATATATATATATATATATATATATATATATATATATATATATATATATATATATATATATATATATATATATATATGTATATGTCGTACCTAGTAGCCAGAACGCACTTCTCAGCCTACTATGCAATGTCCGATTTGCCTAATAAGCCAATTTCTCCTGAATTAATATATTTTCTCAAATTTTTTTCTTTTGAAATGATAAAGCTACCCATTTCATAACGTATGAGGTGAATTTTTTTTATTGGAGTTAAAATTAACGTATATATATGACCGAACCTAACCAACCCTACCTAACCTAACCTAACCTAACCTATCTTTATACGTTAGGTTAGGTTAGGTAGCCGAAAAAGTTAGGTTAGGTTAGGTTAGGTAGTCGAAAAACAATTAATTCATGAAAACTTAGCTTATTAGGCAAATCGGGCCTTGCATAGTAGGCAGAGAAATGCGTTCTGGCTACTAGGTACGACATATATATATATATATATATATATATATATATATATATATATATATATATATATATATATATATATATATATATGTCGTACCTAGTAGCCAGAACGCACTTCTGAGCCTACTATGCAAGGCGCGATTTGCCTAATAAGCCAAGTTTTCCTGAATTAATATATTTTCTCTATTTTTTTTCTTATGAAATGATAAAGCTACCCATTTCATTATGTATGAGGTCAATTTTTTTTTATTGGAGTTAAAATTAACGTAGATATATGACCGAACCTAACCAACCCTACCTAACCTAACCTAACCTCACCTATCTTTATAGGTTAGGTTAGGTTAGGTAGCCGAAAAAGTTAGGTTAGGTTAGGTTAGGTAGGCTAGGTAGTCGAAAAACCATTAATTCATGAAAACTTGGCTTATTAGGCAAATCGGGCCTTGCATAGTAGGCTGAGAAGTGCGTTCTGGCTACTAGGTACGACATATATATATATATATACATATATATATATATATATATATATATATATATATATATATATATATATATATATATATATATATATATATATATATATATATATATATATATATATATATATATATATATATATATATATATATATATATATATATATATATATATATATGTCGTACCTAGTAGCCAGAACGCACTTCTCAGCCTACAATTCAGGGCCCGATTTGCCTAATAAGCCAAGTTTTCCTGAATTAATATATTTTCTCAATTTTTTTTCTTATGAAATGATAAAGCTACCCATTTCATTATGTATGAGGTCAATTTTTTTTATTGGAGTTAAAATTAACGTAGATATATGACCGAACCTAACCAACCCTACCTAACCTAACCTAACCTATCTTTATGGGTTAGGTTAGGTTAGGTAGCCGAAAAAGCTAGGTTAGGTTAGGTTAGGTAGGTTAGGTAGTCGAAAAACAATTAATTCATGAAAACTTGGCTTATTAGGCAAATCGGGCCTTGCATAGTAGGCTGAGAAGTGCGTTCTGGCTACTAGGTACGACATATATATATATATATATATATATATATATATATATATATATATATATATATATATATATATATATATATATATATATATATATATATATATATATATATATATATATATATATATATATATGTGCAGGCGATGAGTCACAATAACGTGGCTGAAGTATGTAGACCAGACCACACACTAGAAGTTGAAGGGACGACGACGTTTCGGTCCGTCCTTTACCATTCTCAATTCGAAACGTCGTCGTCCCTTCAACTTCTAGTGTGTGGTCTGGTCAACATATATATAAATATATATATATATATATATATATATATATATATATATATATATATATATATATATATATATATATATATATATGTATATATGTATGTATATATGTCGTACCTAGTAGCCAGAACTCACTTCTCAGCCTACTATTCAAGGCCCGATTTGCCTAATAAGCCAAGTTTTCCTGAATTAATATATTTACTATAATTTTTTTCTTATGAAATGATAAAGCAACCCTTTTCTCTATGTATGAGGTCAATTTTTTTTATTGGAGTTAAAATTAACGTAGATATATGACCGAACCTAACCAACCCTACCTAACCTAACCTAACCTATATTTATAGGTAAGGTTAGGTTAGGTAGCCAAAAAAAGCTAGGTTAGGTTAGGTTAGGTAGGTTAGGTAGACGAAAAAACATTAATTCATGAAAACTTGGCTTATTAGGCAAATCGGGCCTTGAATAGTAGGCTGAGAAGTGCGTTCTGGCTATTAGGTACGACATATATATATATATATATATATATATATATATATATATGTCGTACCTAGTAGCCAGAATGCACTTTTCAGCCTACTATGCTAGGCCCAATTTGCCTAATAAGCCAAGTTTTCATGAATTAATTGTTTTTCGACTACCTAACCTACCTAACCTAACCTAACTTTTTCGGCTACCTAACCTAACCTAACCTATAAAGGTAGGTTAGGTTAGGTTAGGTAGGGTTGGTTAGGTTCGGTCATATATCTACGTTAATTTTAACTCCAATAATTTTTTTTTTACCTCATACATAATGAAATGAGTAGCTTTATCATTTCATAAGAAAAAAAATTGAGAAAATATATTAATTCAGGAAAACTTGGCTTATTAGGCAAATTGGGCCTTGCATAGTAGGCTGAGAAGTGCGTTCTGGCTGCTAGGTACGACATATATATATATATATATATATATATATATATATATATATATATATATATATATATATATATTATTAAATATGACCGAAAAAGTAAGATTAATAATTCTAACACGAATTTTCTCAATCTTTCGTACATTTCGTTTCACTGTTGGAGGTAAATCAAAAATCAATTCTCCAAAATTCATTTTTATTTCTAGTCTGACGCGACACGAGCGCGTTTTGTAAAACTTATTACATTTTCAAAGACTTTAGTTCACAAATACACAACTGAATAGAACTTACGCATCTCCGTTTTTATATCTACATTTGAGTGGGGTGGAAGGGGTGATGTGGCATTAACACAAGACAGAACAAGATGTGGTATTAATGGGGTATTAATTTCATCAACACAAGACAGAACAAGAGTATTAATAGGGTATTAATTTCATCAACACAAGACAGAACACGAAACAATGGATATTGAATAGAAGTGTTTGTAGAAAGCCTATTGGTCCATATTTCTTGATGCTTCTATATTGGAGCGGAGTCTTGAGGTGGGTAGAATATAGTTGTGCAATAATTGGCTGTTGATTGCTGGTGTTGACTTCTTGATGTGTAGTGCCTCGCAAACGTCAAGCCGCCTGCTATCGCTGTATCTATCGATGATTTCTGTGTTGTTTACTAGGATTTCTCTGGCGATGGTTTGGTTGTGGGAAGAGATTATATGTTCCTTAATGGAGCCCTGTTGCTTATGCATCGTTAAACGCCTAGAAAGAGATGTTGTTGTCTTGCCTATATACTGGGTTTTTTGGAGCTTACAGTCCCCAAGAGGGCATTTGAAGGCATAGACGACGTTAGTCTCTTTTAAAGCGTTCTGTTTTGTGTCTGGAGAGTTTCTCATGAGTAGGCTGGCCGTTTTTCTGGTTTTATAGTAAATCGTCAGTTGTATCCTCTGATTTTTGTCTGTAGGGATAACGTTTTACCTCCAACAGTGAAACGAAATGTACGAAAGATTGAGAAAATTCGTGTTAGAATTATTAATCTTACTTTTTCGGTCATATTTAATAATATATGTCTACAGGAAAGACTGCTACCAATATATATATATTGGTAGCAGTATATATATTACCAATATATATATATATTGGTAATATATATATATATATATATATATATAATATATATATATATATATATATATATATATTATTAAATATGACCGAAAAAGTAAGATTAATAATTCTAACACGAATTTTCTCAATCTTTCGTACATTACGCTTCACTGTTGGAGGTAAATCAAAAATTAATTCTCCAAAATTCATTTTTATTTCTAGTCTGACGCGACACGGGCGCGTTTCGTAAAACTTATTACATTTTCAAAGACTTTAGTTCACAAATACACAACTGAATAGAACTTACGTATCTCCGATTT